AGGCTTCCTGAATGAGGTGACTGCCCTGGCCCTCCTCCTGGGCACCTAGGGTTACCTTCTGTATGGTGACAGCTGCTTGGCCCTGACTGAACTTGTGCCGTCCGTCCTCCCGAATCCTCCGATCCCGCTCCTCATCTCTTCGAATCTCTTGCATGAAGGTGGCTCGAAGCCGGCCTTGCCTGGCCCGCTCTGCCCTTTGTACTAGAATTATGGCCTCAGTCCGGTGCATTCCTGTAAAGCTCTGGCCAGAACAGGGGCAAAAGGGCAAGAGTACATGAGGGAGAGCTTGCATCCAGGGCAGGCCACTGGGAGACCAGCCGCCAAAGGATCCACCAGGGCACCATCCTCCCAGAGTATTTGGGAGCCCAAGTCTTGTCTTGGCGTTAGAAGGTTACCATGAGCACAAGAACAGCCTTGAAGAAGGCCAGGGATTACCTAAAGGGCACTCTGGTATAGGGCAGGGAGGGGCCTCTGCATTCTGGAGGCTTTCAGGAGAAGGGGAATGGAAGTATCTGGGAGGGTGTCACTCCTGTTTACCTTCCGGGAGGACACTGGCTCCAGTCTGGACAGGATCTCAGCCAGCATCAGCCTTTGCTCCCGCATAGCAGTGGACTGCTCCAGCAGGAAGTATTTGGGGATTGGAACCTCTAGGTCAGCCTTTGGGGCAGCATTGGGGGAGGAGGGTCAGAAATCAAAAGTCTGGGCCATCTGGCCAATCTATTACAATTTTCAGCTGCTGACACAGCCCCAGTACTGTTTTCCTCCATTTTAGAGTCCTGGGGTAGGAAGCTGAAAGGGTAATGGGCAGATGCCCCCAAGAATCATTCCTCTCCTTTGCCCCCATCATCTGGCTGCAGTTGAATTCTGGAGGATTGTGGTAGGTGGTAGTGGTCTCAAACCTGGTTGTGCATCAGAATCAACTGGGAAACTCTTAAATGCAGATTCCTAGGTTCTCCCCAGACTACTACATCAGAATGGCAGGGCCTACAGAATCTTTTTTTTACCCCAAGTGCACTGCTGCAGCTGGTTGGGGAAACTTTGAGCTAGTCTTGGATATGAAGCAGTTACTGTACCCCAAGCTTAGGGCCAGACTGGAGGCCTCATCGAAGCTCTGTGCTCTAGAACAGCCTTCTAGAACTTGCTTGTGCACACAGATCACTGGAGGGTCTTGATAAAACGCTGGTGAAGATTTAGTGGGTTAGGGATGCAGTTTCTCATTTGAGATGTCAATGCTGCTGGTCCAGGGACCACACTTTGAGGAGCCTCTAGAGGACTCTCCTCACAATCTCCTGCAGTTCATGGGTCTTCCCAGTCATTCAGGGGACCTCACCCTGACTCCATCCAACTCCCAAGTACTTCATGCACCCACCCCCTTCCCAAATACCCTCCCCACAAGGTCAAAGCCCATCCTCTGATCTTCTTTGCCCTCCTTCCTTCCCTAGCAGGTGTCCCAACACCAGGAATATCCGTGGGGTGGTGGGTAGGCAGAGGGTGGTCGGCCCCACCCGACCCCAAGCTGTCCGGGGCATGGCTCTGTGTCCCAGGTGATCAAGGCCGGTCCGCCCCGCCTCTCCCCTCCCACTACCGGGCTGGGGGCGTGGCTTCGCGGCCGCACACACCTACCGGGGTGAGCTTGAGATCCTGCAGCACGAGGTCCAGGCAGTGGTTCTCACACAGTTCCGCGCGCACCAGCTCGTCCTTGAGCTCCAGCACGCGCCCCGCCACGCTGTCCAGCAGGCGCCGCACCAGCCGCCTTTTCTGCGGCTGCACCAGCTGGTCGTAGACGGTGTCGAAGCGGCGCAGCAGCCCCAGGTAGTGCAGGTAGAGCGACCCGAGCCTGTACTGGAAGGTCTGCCGCTCCCGCGCGGGCACGGGTTCGAGGAGGGGCTGCTCTCGGTCCAGCAGCTCCTGCAGGGTCGCGTGGGAGGACTCCCAGAGGCGCTGGTAAGCTCTGGAGAGAGGGTGGCGGGCGCCACGTGCTCTGAGCCGAGGAGGAGTGGGGACACAGAGCCGCCCGGCCTTTTGAGGACTGTGGGCTCGGGGTGCCATGAGGTGTGATGTCACTCATAGCTCTGAAATGGACTTCAATGAGGTGAGGAGCCCGCAGGGCAATGAGTGAACGCCGATCTGGTCTTAGGGAGAGTGCAGGATTGGGCTGTGCCGTAGGATTAGCAGACAGAATGGGCATAACCTTTGGGGATTTGCGGGGAAGCCAGCCCAGACTGGGGCTCCAGTAAGGATGGGGTCTTTGGGAGTCAGGGACAGTGGCCCTCCAGGTATGGGGGCAGCCCATGGGTGCTGCAGTGATCTGGGCTGGTGGGTGGGAAGTGGGGGTGAGGGATGAACGTGGAGGAGGGTCCCTTCCCCAGAGCAGAGCCCTGGTTCTGGAATTAACCACCCGAGGAAAGTTTGCACAGTGAAAGCTGCCAGGGTAGCAGCAGCAGCTGGGGCAGCCCAGCGGCCAAACCCCCACTCTGCACCAGCCTCTCAGGACAAGGAGGTGCTCTGCCATTTGTTCTCTGCCCTGGGGGCCCCACTCCAGCCCCTCACTCACCCCTCAGACATAGTCCCCACTTCTCCACACTGCCCTTTGTTTGCTGGTGGTGGAATTCACAGAACCTCTGTGGCTCCCTGACTCCACCCCCAGGGCCACAGGGCAGAACAGCCTGGTTTTAAGAGTTCTGACCCATTGTACCAGTGTTCTAGGGCTGAGGAGAGGGGGCTGGTGGGTGCAGAATCGGGACACTTATCTCGGAGGCCGTCCTGGAAGCAGCACGCTGAAGGGACCATGGGGCGGGCAGTGGCAGCCTCCCACAGATCAAGCTTTGGAAGCTTAGGGAAGAACATGACTAACTTCGGTCATTTTTCTTGTAAAGAACAAGTGAAATAAGTCTCTATTTGAAGCCCCCTAAAAGCTTTGGTGCTCTGGATACATCTGTCCTGAAGGCATTCCCCTTAGCAAGGCATCACTGCAGCTTCTCACCCTGAGTGGCCTCTGTTCCCTCGCTCAGCCCCCACCTCCTGAGCCCCACAGCCCTCCTTCGCTCTCTGGATAACAGCACAGAGGCCCGTGTGGTAGAGGGAAAGGCACTGGTTTGGAGTCAGAAGGCCCTGAAGGCCCAAGTGCCACTTTGGGTGAAAGTGAGCATAACCACACTTGCCTCCCTAGGGCCTGCCAAGAGCTCACGCCATTCCCATGAGCCAGACCCCTGTGAAGGATCATGCTAGAAAGTGTAGCAGACGCTGTTCTGCATGCTTGGGGCTCACTTGGTCACCTGTGGGTTGCCCCCCCCATCACTGCTACAGGCTCAGAAGACCATTTTTCCAAAAAGACAAAATATACCACTAGCAGCCTGAGGCTGGTCAGCTGGGGTAAGGTTTTTGACTCAGTGTCACATTGAGGCTTATGACTGAGTAAGTCTATGAGGAACCGGGCCAGGGAAAGAGGCAGAAGGGAAATAGCAGCAAGGAGCAAAGATAAGGACTCTTAACTCCAAGGTGCCTATGAGCTACCTGAGAGTCTCATTAAAATGTAGATTCCGGGCTGGGCATGGTGGCTCATGCCTGTAATTCCAGCACTTTGGGAGGCCAAGGCAGGCGGATCTCCTGAGGTTGGAAGTTCATGACCAGCCCAGCCAATTTGGTGAAATCCTGTCCCTACTAAAAATACAAAAATCAGCCAGGCGTAGTGGTACGTGCCTGTAATCCCAGCTACTCAGGAGGCTGAGGCAGGAGAATTGCTTGAACCCAGGAGGTGGAGGTTGCAGTAAGCCCAGATCATGCCACTGCACTCCAGCCTGGGCAACAGTGAAACTGTCTCAAAAATAAATAAATAAATAAATAAAATACAGATTCCGCTCCAGATGTGAGGAGGTGTCAAGAGCCTGCCTTTCTAACAGGCTCCCAGGTGCTACGGCTCCTGCTAGCCTGGGTCATGCTTAGCAGAACAAGATGTGAACACAGGGCAGAGTGGGCGGGAGTGAGGCTTCGGGGGCAGATACCCTGAGCCTGCCCCTTGCTAGCTGTGGACATAAATGTGGATCACTAGTCCTCAGCTCACAGAACCTCGTGCTGAGGCTCAAGGTATGAGAAGAGACACGTGACATAGGTAGCACTGCCGCCGAACGTCAGCCATTACTACAAGGTGATGTGTTTTCAAGACATGGAGATGAAGGTGACCACAAGCTGGGTCTGTCCAATTACAAAGGGAACATGAAGAATCTGAGGTTTGTCTAAATCCCACCCCTTCACCCTCTCCAAGCTTGGAAGAGGATTTGTGGGTCATGTGCCCACAAGATAAGCAGAGGCTGCATGAGAGAGAAAAAGCAAGTGGTCTAGTGGTGAGTGGCCAATTTAGGTAAGAACCCAGGAATGGCCATGGTGCTTTCTTGCAGTTTTTCTGTGGGTTTCAAATTTTTCCAAATAAAACTGGAGAAGAAAAGTTAGGAGTTTCTGCAGATGAGCACTTTGGGTTAAAAAAGACTAAAAAAGAAAAAAGAAGAAAACTTAGGAGTTTCAAAAACATCTCCACTGATTTGTTCTGAAAATAAGGGGAAAGTGAAAAATCATACTGATCTCAGCAGGTTATTTAGAAGCTGGTCTGGGCCATCAGTTTTTGTATCTTGACTAGATCTGTGTGGCCCCTTCGCACAACAGTGTCTGTCCTATCGGATGCAATGACAGTTCGTGGGAAATGACGTTGCAAAGCTACAGCCTGAAAGAGCACCACACAGGAGTAATTTCAGGCCCAGAGAGGGAATCAGCTGGTAGAAATCCAGATGATAGCCCAGGCCCAGGTCCTACTCCAGCTCACTGCCAAATAGAACATTTGCATGTGTACGAAGCTATCACACCTTGCTCACAGGATGTACCCAGAAAGCAGTTTCTAAGAAGTAACGGAGAAGCGCTATTCCACCTGTGGTAGCCTCAAAGTGAGGCCACGCTTGCTCCACACCACTCCCTGGCCTCAAACATCCTTGCAAATAACCACAGTGCACAGAAACAGTTCACCCTTTATTTTTGTCAGGCCCTGGGTCACTTGGAGCTGGTGTACTTGGCGACAGCCTTGGTGCCCTCGGACACAGCGTGCTTGGCCAGCTCCCCAGGCAGCAGCAGACGCACGGCCGTCTGGACTTCCCGGGAAGTCAGGGTGGTCCGGCCTGAGTACTGAGCCAGCCGGGCAGCCTCACCCGCCAGCCGTTCAAACACATCATTCACAAAGGAGTTCATGATGCTCATGGCCTTGGCAGAGATGCCGATGTCGGGGTGCACCTGGAGAGAGGGCAGCACCACTTGGTTAGTGGAAGGGGCTGGCGGCGGCGGTTGGGGGGGGCGGGTCCTACCTATGCTGCAAGCCTCACTCCGAGCTGGGGGCTCTAGGAAGCCAGAGGCAGAAGGCAAGGAGGCTCCTCACCAGCCCCTTCCCAGAGGCCAACAGACAAGGAAATTGGGATTTGTGTTTTCTTTGTGCTACTATGGTATATCCAAGTTGTTCAAAAGAAGTTTTCAACTGCAGGAGGTAACACGATTAAGTTCCTTGTATGAACACACACAAGCCGCTGTTCTTAACAAGTGGGACCAGTTCCACATGCAGCTTGCTGTTTTCACTGCTGCACTTGCATAATGTTCCATGGCATGATGTATCATCCTTCCTATCACCATTCCTCTCAATGAACATTCAAGGTTTGGGTTTGGGTGTTTTTGTTGTTTTACTATCAGGGGTATGGTAAATGTCCATCTTTGAACCTTGTGTGAGCACAGGGAAGGTTATTTCCAGAGGCAGGACTGGAGGGCAGAAAGGTTTGTGCATGTAACTTGGTGGAGCACATGACCAGCGAGCATGTCCCCATGACAGTTGGAGCCCTGGACCAGGAGGTAGGAGTCCTGTTCTGTGGCTGCCCTGTGAATTACAATGACCTCGAATATAGCCCTTTCCTTTGGGAAATGGATTTCCTTTTCTGTCACATAAGCTTTTGAACTAAGCGACATTTAGTAAAGCAAATGGGACCTAATGACAGTCCTAAAATGTGAGTAGGTAGACCATGTCAGATGTGAGGTGGGAGAGAAGTAACTGTCCCACAACCTACATGGAGCCAGAGGTGGAGACTGCACTAGAACCAGGAGGCTGTCCCTGCCGCCCTCCCTGCCGCCTCTGGTTTCCACTGCTGGCAGCAAATCTGCACCTGGCACAAGGCTGGTTCCGCCCCAACCCCCTCTGCTGTCAGCACCCTCTGTTCTCTTTAGGGCTCTCACCCGAAGCAGGAGGTTGAGGGGTTGGCCCTCAGCAGCACTCTCCTCTCCAAGTCCAGGCCTGATCCAACCCATCAGTTGCAATTTTTGCCCCTTTAAGTCGGGCTAAGACACAGGGCTCAGTGATACCCATTCCTACCCCCACTTTCCTCAGGGCACCAGGGTCTGTCCTCCGGTGCATCTCTTCAGCCAACCCATAGCACTGGACTCACCCACCCCTGACCCTGCAAGAGCATTCCCAGGCACCCAAGTTGTCAATCCGCTAGAGGGATTCAGACTGGAGTCAGGCACTACCTCTGGGACCTGCTCTAGCAGAGGGGGAAGAGTTTCAGGCAGGTTGGAGACCCACGGCAGGCAGCACATGGCTACCCCTCCCTCCTCCTGGCCCTGGCCCTGCTGAGCAGCGGCTCTGGATCCTCCAGGCGAACTGATTGTCAGTGTTCTGATTCCTGTGAGTAGCCACTTTCCATGCATGAATATAGGGCACCTGCAGCCCCTCGGTGTTGGGGAGAGAACACACAGGAAGGATGCTAGGGGCTTGCCCAGAGCCAGGGGAGCTGGGACAATGCCACCATCAGGCCATGTGATACAGGAACCCCATGGAGCCTTTAGTGGCCTCAGGCTCTTTATAAGGTGGGCAAACCTTAAGCCCCTCAAAGAGCTGAGTGCCACTCGTCCAGAAAACCTTCCCTAAGACTCCAGTTCACCCCGATCACCCCTCTTCTCAGTCACCAAACACACCTTGTTGTGTCATAATGTTTGGTACCTTATCACCTTCAGCCCGGCACAGAAAGTGTGGTCCTCTTGTCCTTTAATTATGTCCCACCTAATCATGCTGTCTCACCGTCCCCGTAAACTACTGGAGGGTGGCAGAAAGCACGCTTTGTCTCCTGCCTATCACCGGTACCCAAGATCCTGAGAGGTGGAGACCTCGAAAATCAGGTCCCGCCACCTCAAGAGGGACCTGGCTTGCCTTAGCCACTTGCCCCACTGCCAACACTAACCTCAGAGCCCTGGCTTCCAGCCAGTGCCCTTTCAAGGTGCTTTGCAAGGGCATCCCACACACACATCCCTGCTCTGCACTCACCTGCTTCAGCACCTTATAGATATACATGGAGTAGGTTTCCTTGCGCCGGCAGCGCTTTTTGGATTTCTTGCTCCCAGTACTGTGGCCCCCACGGCCCCCGAGCTGCTGCTGCTGCTGTCCATACTCAGTGCTCATCTTCCTGCTCCTCTAGCCCCTACCCACCCCTCAGAGCTACTTTTATGAAGTCAGCTGCCCTGCCAGGTGTGGCTGGGGGCATGCACCTGGGAGAGGGGGGTGGGAGATAAGGGGCGTGACTCAATCCCAATCTAGAACATGCTCTGGGCTAACCTTGAAAAAAGACAATTGCACTTTCCTCTCCCACAAATAATTTTCTGTCTCTGAATTAAGAAACCCTTTACTGGGTCCCCTGCTTCACCCAACTATCTACCAATGTATTTACGCACTTGTTAAAAGTTCAGGCAACTCCAGCCCACCAGCCTGTAATCACGGGGCACACAGGTGCCAGTATGGCTCAGAGTGCTGGGGACTCCGGAAGGAATGCAGGCTCCTTCCCCCACTGGGTCCCAGTGGAGCTGAAGAGACAAGACTGAATTCACATCAAACCACCAGAGAAGGGCAAAGGGGCCAAAGGGGATGGTACCTATCACGAGGAGGGCTCGAGCAGCTAGGGGTCGCTTCTTGGCACAAATGGGTATATGACGCCAGGTCTTATAGGATGTCTCCTTTAATTGGGAAGAATGGGAGAAACGGTGTGAAAGGTAGAGTAGAATCAGCGTGAGCTGAGTATAATGAGGCTTGGACTGAAAGCAGACAATGAGCAAAACGCCTGAGCCTGGACTAGATGCAGATAGCAGGAAGCCTCCCAGGTAGTGAAGAGGCTGACAGGGAGGAAGACCACTGGAGGTAAGAAGCAAAAAAACAATAGATGCTCTCCAGAAAAGCAGACGTGGGGGTCTTGGGAGTTGGCAGTAAAGGGAAGAAAAAGGTCATCACAAAATGGAGTCAATTGTCTCACTTAGCACCTATGAGGGAACAAATATTTCAGGCCCTTGAATGCTGTGATTAAAGAAACGTGGAGCAATATGAAAGGTATAGAGGCTTGGGAGAAAAGAGGATGTTCTGAATGGAAAGGTGGGGGAGTTTCCAAAGACCAGCATCACCTGCTGCCTGTTAAACCAAGCAACTCCTCAATCAACTTACTTCCCCACCCAGCTCTGAACGGCCGGTCACATCCTAAGTGCTAAGGTTCAAGAGAACAGGGCATTTCTCAATCCAAAACAAGGCACTGCTAATTTTAGAAATATGCATTTTGTGTACTTTTAAAACATTCTTTAAATTACCAAGGTTGACCTTTTTCTCGACAAGTAAGCTGACTATTTCCATTCCTCCAGGTTCTGAAGGCCTCATGTCCCAGCATGGAGACTCTGGAGATCCCAAGTCTACCTGGATTCTTAGTAATGTCCAGCACCTCCTTGGCTGAAGGAGCAGGGGCTCTGTCCCTCACTGTCCCCATTATCCCTGCAGCCTAGTCTCCAGATGCCATTTTCCCCTAAACAAGGCTCTGGACACTCAGGACAGACTAATGTGGGCCATTTGCTCCAGGCCCCACTTAAGGCATAAAGCAGTCAAGCCAGTCCCCTCTGGGGTCAGTGAGAAGAAAGGACTCCTGTCTGTCTTGGCTGCAGTGTCTCAAGGGAGGCTCTTGTCCCCACTGCCCAGGGGAGCTCCTGGGCTTCTTGGCTATCTGAGAAGGCCCTACTCATTTTTGAAGGGAGAGCACACCAATCTCACCTTTCCGGGTAGCTACTCACAAGAAACTTCCCTCCCTTCAATACTGCTGTCTCCTATCTAAATCACCATTTAGCATCTAACTTATGTCCTGTATGGTTCTGTCTTACTGGCTTTCCCACTAGATCATGAGCTCCTTAGGGGTTTAGACACCATCTGGGACAGCTGTTCCATCCCCTCAACCAGTCCTGGCTGTACTATAATGAGTACTGAAAAATCATGCCTGTCCTCCCATAGGGATGGCTGCTGTTTTCAGAGGCAGAGTGATGAATCCACACCAGGAAGGATGGCCACCGGTGAAGTGCTGCCTCAGACAGGTAGGCAGAGGCCTGGGCTGGAAGTGAATTCATTAGTGATGAAAACTATGGCTGTGGACAGGCCATAATTAGGACAGGCCTAATTTCCTATATCCCAATAGGAAGAGGGGTTCACAAACATTGGTGTGGAAATGCAAACTCCACATCTCTGCACCTCTCTCATTCTACCAAATGCAATCAATAGGTCTGATGCTCAGCAAGCTGCATTTTTTAATTTGAGACAGTATCTCGGTCTGTCCTCAGGCTGGAGTCAGTGACACGTTCTCTGCTCACTGCAGCCTCAACCTCCTGGGCTCAAGCGAGCCTCCTCCTTCCAGCACAGCTGGGACCACAGGCACATGCTACCATGCCTGGTTTTTTTATTATTATTTGTAGAAATGGGGGTCTCCCTATTTTGCCCAGGCTGGTCTTGAACTTCTGGGCTCAATCGATCCTCCTACATTGGCCTCCCAAGGTGACGAGCTTACAGGCAGGTGTGAGCCATTGTGCCTGGCCAGTCTGCATTTCTTATTTTTTTGAGACAAGGTTTTGCTCTGTCACCCAGGCTGGAGTGCAGTGGTGTGACCTCAGCTCACTGCAACCTCTGCCTCCTGGGCTCAAGCAATCTATCCGCCCCAGCCACCAGGTGGGACTCCAGGCATGTAGAGACATGTTTCACCATGTTTCCCTGGTCTTGAACTCCTGAGCTCAAGTGATCCACCTGCCTCTGGCTCCCAAAGCGCTGGGATTACAGGTGTGAGCCAACACACCTGGCCTGCATTTTTAACAAGCAGCCCAACTGCTATGCAGATGGAGAACTTCAGATCACAATCAGAAAACCACGCCCTGACAGTGGTTCTCAAAATACAGCCCCTAGACCAGCAACACCAGCATCACCTGGAAACTTCTTAGAAATGTTAATGTTCTTGGTTTCCCCCAAGACCTACTGACCACAAACCTTGAGGCGAGATCTGGCAATCTGATCTGATGAGCCCTCCAGGTGATTCTGATTCTTGTTAAAGTCTGTGAATCACAGGCCTGAGAAAAGGTAATTTCAAATCAGCAGTAAAGGGAGAAAGTTCTTCCAGCTCCCATGGACTAGTCTCCAGTTCCCATCCACACAACTGATGTGGGATCCGGCTCCTGCTGAGGGCAGTGCATGTGGGCACCACAGGGAGAAGAAGGCCCCAGAGACCCGAGAAGGAAGGTAGGGACCATGGCTTCCTCTTTCTTTATTGGGCGCTTTGTAGATGCCACGCAGGTCTAAAAGTTACACTGTTAAATAATTATTTAAAAACTGACCAGGACGAGGGTCCTGATCCAGAGCTCCAAACCAGAAGCAAAAAGGAATGGGGGCGGTGGGCATTCCTCCAACATCACCAAAACCCAGAAAACGAGGATCCTAAGCTCCTTTGAGGGCCAAATCCAGGCTTGGGCCCTTGGGCTAACCTGCAGGTACCTCTGACTGCATCACACTCAGAGTAAGGTAACCAGCAAGGGGCTGGAGGGAACGGCCAGCCGAGTCCAGACATGGACAGAAGTAACTGGAAGGAGGACGGGAAACGGACAGGTACTGTCCAGCTGTAGACAAGAGAGTGCAGCTAAGGCAGGTCGAGGGGCAGGGGAGAGGCTGGGGGAGCGGTATTGCAGCCATGCAGGAATGCAGCNAAGAGAGTGCAGCTAAGGCAGGTCGAGGGGCAGGGGAGAGGCTGGGGGAGCGGTATTGCAGCAATGCAGGAGTGCAGCCCTGGGTTCTGTCCTGAGCAGCTGGTCAGGGTAGCAGCTGTTAGTTCCCAGATGGAGCTCCTGACCCGAGCCCAGGCAGAGGGCTCACACGTTGTGGGTCCTCTTGGTGAGCTGGGGCTCCTCATCCACCAGCTTGGACTTGAGGTGCTCTTTGTAAGCCAGGATGTCTCCAGGCCACTTGGTGATTGTCTGCTTCTCACAGACCCAAATTTCCTGTGCAACCTAGAAAGCAAAGCCTAGACTTAATCCTGGGCCAGTCACTGTCCCCACCTCTGCCCAGCAGACTTTCTAGGAAGAAAACTCCACCCCCCAAATCCATATCCAGCTCACTGTCTCACGACTTCTAAGTTATTTGGGGTGTTCTAACCCAAGGGTACCATAACCAGGTTTGCGGCCTTCCCAGCCAGGAACTGCTGTGTCACTCCTGGTGTCAGCTCCCTGGCAGGGTCTAGATCTATTTAGAGGCTTCACTCTCAGCTTTCTTTTCTCTACCTCCCATCTTCTCCAGAGCTTCCGAGGAATGAGCAGCTTTTTCTCCAATGACTGTGGTAGCTCTCTGTCTAATCAAAATCCTTCTTAGTAGGAAACTATTTTCGGACTGAAGAATCTTGGGACAGTAGTAAAAGCACTCTGTTTCCTACCCAACTCTCTTTCCCATTTGAACCAAAAATGCCAAGCTGGTTAACATCTCCAGATAGAAGAAATGAAGCATTTCAGTTAAGGCTTTCTAAGTAGCCCCAAAGAGGCATAAGTACTGGTCTTCACCACCTGTGTCTACACTCTGAGCCCCTTCTCTTAATTCAGTAAGTGGGTGTTATGTGCCCTCCACATGCCATGACTATCCTACCCAACCTTCTAAAAGGTCTCTGCTGTGCCTCACCCACTGGCCAGGGCCTCACCTGCTGAATGAGTCTGAAGTCATGGCTGACCAGCATCATACCACCCTCAAACTCATTGATGGCATCTGCCAGGGCGTCGATGGTCTCAATATCCAGGTGATTGGTGGGCTCGTCCAAGAAGAGCATGTGGGGGTTCTGCCAGGCCAGCCAGGCCAGACATACTCGGCACTTCTGCCCGTCTGACAAGTTCCGGATTGGGCTCACCTGAGTGGAACCATGACATACATGTAACTTGGCATCATCCCCACCAAACAGCACAGCTCATCTCTCCTCCATTTCTCCCTGACTCCTCCCATCAGTATTGCCATTTTACAAAAAGTGAGGCTCAGAGAGACCCACTAGTCTCTTGAGGCCTGAAAGAGACTCATCTGGAAACCTGAAGCTCTTGTTATTACTAAGCCCATATCTCTTGGCAATTAAATCTTAATGAATGGTTCAGATCTGCACCCAGAAATTTGTCTTCTAGATTGTGAGTTCCTTTGCCCTCAAGTGCTATGGCACAAGGGCATGTTGAGACTGGCATGCTATCCTTGGCCCCTCAAAATGCCCCCTTACATAACAATCTAGAGTAAAGGAAAGGTAATAGGTTCTTAGGGGAATCAAATGGAGGAGACTCTGGTTTGGACAGCTTCCAAACCTAGGCTGCCAAGACAGTGTCCCCTGACCCACGCAGCCACAGAATCCCAGCTATCTGGCGTTCTCACCACACCCTCCTTTACTGACCTGCTGTTTCCCAGTGAGACCGTATCGCCCAATGATCTTCCTCATTTCTTCCTTCTCCTTGATCTCTGGGTAGCACTTCATCATGTACTCCAAAGGCGAGAGATCTAAGTCCAGCTGCTCTTGTAAATGCTACAGGAAAAATGGAAGCCACCCAGGTGTGACTGCCATCCCGCTTCAAAAGGAACCCTCCTAGGTAACTTCCTATTTCTATCCCAGGCACCTGTTCTGGGTTCAAGAAGCAGGGAGGAGCCACCTAGGCTGGAATTCCTGCCAGGGGGTAGGGGTGGCTGGCTGGAACTCGGCCAGATACAGCACCTTCCCATACCCTGGGCAATTCCCTGGATCCCAACTCCAGGTCCATACCTGATGATAACGCCCTATCTTGACATGAGAGTGTTTTCGGATCATGCCATCTGTGGGTAGTAGCTAGGAAGAAAAAAGTGGAAACATAAGCATGAAACAAAGGAACCCTAGTTAGAAACAGACATAGGCAGAGCAGGCAAACAAACACATGTTCACACTGAACAAGACTCAACTTCCTAAAGAGAATACATCACCAACTCACACACTGCTATTCTGGCCACTCTAAATATATTTAGGAAGATGTACTGAAGCAGATGTTCTCAAGAGGCAAAGATACAATTTAAGTAGTTATGAAATGTCTACTGCAGAATGCACTATACTGTGTAGCAGAGGACTTGGATGTAGGTGCAACATACATTTTCTAAAATTAAAAACAGGTTCTCAAAGTTGTCACTGTCATCAATGGGTTCTTAGAAACAGAACCTATTTTAATGGTCTGGAAACAGACTTTAAGTGAAACAACATATAACAAAACTAATTTTGCCATAGGCTAACTGATATAAACAACAGTTAGGTTCCTGCAGCATTTTTTGGTCACAAAAAAGATCATCAAACTTCTAAATAAAGATCCAAACACTTTCTTTCTTTCTTTTTTTTTTTTTTTTTAAGAGGGAGTCTTGCTCTGTCACCCAGGCTGGAGTGCAGTGGTTCACTGGAACCTCTCCATCTCAGTTTCAAGTGATTCTCCAGCCTCAGCCTCTGGGAGTAGCTGGGATTACAGGTGCCTGCCACCATGCCTGGCTGATTTTTCGCATTTCTAGTAGAGATGGGGTTTCACCATGTTGGCAAGGCTGGTCTCAAACTCCTGACCTCAAGTGATCCACCAACCTTAGCCTCCCAAAGTGCTGGGATTACAGGTGTGAGCCACCGCACCCTGCCAAACGACCCAATCACTTCTAATACATTTAAATACACGTGAGCTACACATACATTTAAGAAAGATTAGTGAAAACAAGGTAAATTATTTACCCAATTTTTGATGAATCAGTGAGTGATGGTAGTTGCAATAGTGGTGGGTTAAGCCAAGGAAGAAATGTTTGCAAAGGGAAAATTGTAAGGAGCACTTCCTACCACCACACAGTTCAAAAATAATCACACATGTGGCTGAGTTGCTGAGTGCATTTGTATGATTATCAGAAATTTTATCAATTTTTCTTTTATAACAATTTATATTCATTCATTCTTTCATTTTCCAACCTGCTTATTCAAGTTTAGGATCATGGCCAGCCAGAGCCCATCCCACCAACCCAGGGAACAGGGCAAGAACCAGTCCTGAAGAGGACACCATTCTATTACAAGGTGTGCTCACACACACCCACACTCATTCAGACTGGAACCACTGAGACATGTCAATTAACCTGACAGGCGTAGCTTTGGGATGTGGGAAGAAACTGAAGTACCCAAGAAAGCCCATGCAGACATTAAGGAGGGAAGTACAAACTCCACACAGACAGTGGCCCCAGCTGGGAATCATTTCTTTTTTTTCATCGATATTAATGAAATGACATTATTTGAGAAGCTGCAACATCCCTAAATGCACAGATGTTCCTATATTCTAATTGCTCTGATTGAAAACAGAAACATGCTCAAACATATACATG